AACTAGTGATTTAACTAGGAACCCATAAACCTAAAATTCTGGATCCGCCTCTGCTGATGCCCATTAATAATGAATGTCTAACAAATGATAGGTAAAGATCATAAATAGTCACATTCAAAACAAGGTGCAAGTAACACCAGGGGCGGACCTACGTGGAAGGTAGAGGGGTCACCGGCGCCCGTTAAGCTCGGGAAAAACCTGTATTTATATGTATATGTAGGTTGTATACCTTGAGAAACGGTTATATATTTTATTAGGCACCCTCAATCTCAAATGTCTGTTTGGGGCATTGGTCGCATCTGCAGCGTGTTGTTGCTCTTATGGGTGGATGACTGGGGTTCGATTCTCAGCTCCAACAATTACTTTGGTTTTAGTTTAAGGATTTATAAGCCCAGATTTCTATTTTGTCTTTTTTCCTTTAGTTTCTGGTCCTTTTTTTAATTTTTTCTTTAGTTTCTGCCCAAAACCCCCTTTCCTATGACTAAACCTCTCCCTCAAAAATTCTTAAACTCTTCTCTATGTTAAAAATTGAAGCATAGAACTTATCATAATCACCAAAGTCTTAAGAGAGTTGCACGACGTCAAACTTTGTAGCTAATATGCATGAGTCATGGCTATGACAAAAATAATAGTGCCCCGCCATCTCTAAATTCTAGATCCGCCTCTGAGTAACACATGTATGCAGTACAAAATATGTGAATGTTGATTGAGATGATTGGATTTTGTTCTACGAAAATTCAAAGGTGCCTATCCATAGATATGAAAACATAGTAAAAGACAAAAATGACTAAACCTACGTAAATAGAAGATTAAAAGCTTTTTTCAAAAGACTGACAATCTTTCGGAATACATGTATATTTCGTAAAAGAAAAGAATATAATGTAAAAAATAGCTTCATATAGGCAATCTTGTATTAGGTTCAAATTTTGCTAAGATTATACTAGCCCGTTCAAAGATGTGCATGACACTAGAAATTGTAGAAAACAACTAATATCCTGACAGTACCAACTTTTACATTCTGGATATCGTTGAAATGGTTAAATATTGAAATTGAGATGATCGTGAAATTAACTAAATAATATACTTCTGCTAAAAAAATTATGTTCATATTCATGCTTATTGACGTTATTTCGCTTATTGATATTTTCTGCTTCAGAATTAAGTCAGTGGCTCTTATCCTCTCCTATCATTCTTTGTATGTAGACTTTAATTTGTCAAATACTGTTGTTATATCGCCTGTTCGTGTTTTCACCTAAATTAACTCTTCTTTCAAAAACAAAACAATCAAGAATCCAGTTAACTAATGTTTGGATTGAAATTAGGAGTTATTATAATTCTTTTTTGTTACGGATTTTGGATTTTCGAAAACAATAAAAAGCATAGAAGTTCTAATTATCCTCAATACACATATATTCAACATGATGTGAATAGATACAACACAAAATGAGCTGTAAATTAGAAATATTTGTACCAAGTTCAAAAGAAATACTTCTAGCTATTCTGACTGAGAATAGCAGAAAACTGAGATGAGGTGACAGTGACACCATTTCGAGACTCCTTAATCAAAGCCATTGACAAATTCTCTCAATGGTGGATGAGCACAAAACCTAGCTAAGAGAGAGGAAATGAGAGAAGAAGCTTCGAAAGAGCTGTAATACACAATTGGGAAATTGAAATTAATATTCCAAATGTACAAAATGTCCAAACCCCTTACTTATACACATAACTCACACGCATGACAACTCGCAATAGCTGTCCACTAACTAATAACCATATTGACAAATTTAACAAAGCTAACAGCTAACTAACTAGTAGAGGAAAGATAGATAGATAAATATATGTGTATAGAGTGTACACTCAATTGCCGCATAACGTGAATCACTTTCTGCCTCCACCTTGAGCTTATGAATTGAACCCCTAATTTGGTTTCAAATTTTTTACTATGCTTCAGGGATGGTGGAACAAATCTAATTGCCCAAGAAAATAATATTGTATTCTGCACTTCTTGACCTTTAGATCAGGTATGTAATCCTGTCTTTCTGGAATAAAAAATTCAGAATGTAGGGACCTTGTTCCTCATTCCCTGATTCTTCAATGGGCTCGGATAATTCTATTTTCATATCATCAACCAAACACAATGTGAAAAACGCTTGGAGTGAGGATCAATGTGCTCAAACACATAAACTCCAGGACTTTCAACATCCTCAACACCAATGACAGTAGAATCAACAAATTTTTTATCCTCACTATCCTTGGCCGACTCTAGTATCACGTCTTCAACATAGGCGTCATCAAATTCTAGTTGGCTCGGTTGTTGGTATTCTACTCTAAGCTCCTCCACCAGAGTATCAACTGATGACTCTAAGTCATATTGTTTTCGGCTACTATCCACCATATTGAGTTGTTGAACATTCAAAGCTTCTACCATTTGGCTCACTTGAGCCTTGAGGTTTTGAATAGCTTCCTCTTGCCTTTGTATCCATAATTGTGTGTCATTTTTTTTGTTCCACAAGGCACCTTAGCATATCCTTGATCTCTTTTAGGTCATCATCCCTGGGCTCTTTGTTCTTATTAACTTCACAATAAAAAGTAGAACTATCATAGTAAGGAGTTGGGGGAGGATAATAAATATAAGCACAACCATGAAAGTGACCATCTTGACCACCACGCATATCACATATATTTGAAACATAAGATTGAGTTGGTGCACACAACTCGCTCTCGGGAATATTTTGATAATTCTGCCACGAGTGGTTTCCTTCATAATATGTATAAGGATAAAAAATGATTACCAACATCTAAACTCCCACAAAGTACTAAGGTTTCGCTATAACTGTTCAATATCACTAAGAAGACAAGCTCGAACAATTCCTAAGTTATAAATATTAAGATTCTTATATCTAATTAACTAACAAATTAAAGCAGTATATTAACAACTAAAGATACTACAAGTTGGAGAAAATATTAAAGAGGTCTAGAGTTATGATTTCTCCAATTGTCGGAATCCGTCTACTATATATGTCTTCTATAATTTTGTCTAATTATCCTCTACTGATCATGAGCACTCGACTTATCATAATTCTCTCTCGAGCAACTACAAAAATGTACTAGTCATATTCTCTCAAATTACCTTAATGTACTAGTCATATTCTCTCGAATTATGCTAGCTCGCACTTCTTCACCGCTCACTAGGATCACGTCAAAGCTTCGTTATGTCTAATCCCGATTTTAAACCCGCCGTATTGATCTCTCATATACCTTAGGAGTGACGTTGTTCAACAACCACCTAAATATGCATCCTTTCTCAATAAATACACAATAAATAGGCACAGTCAATCGATGGTCATTCATTCAACTGAAATAAGCACGTAATTGAACAAGTAAATAAATCCAAAGGTTAAATTATATTAAAACATAACAAAAATTCAACATCCAAGAGGTTCCATCAAGACTATAGATAATAGATTAGCTATTCATAATAGTATGTAAAACTACAATATTAAAAGTCATAACCAACAATGAAAGTAGGAAGAAGAAGGGGAAAAACTCGTGGTTGGATCTTTCTCCTTGCTCCTAACGTGTTCTCCTCCTTAGGTATTGTCTAACCTTAAAGTAATGTCTCTCCCATTCAAAAACATTTTATGATGTATTTATATCAATTAGGGTTGATGTGGGGAGTCCTTGATCTCTCATAATTCGAAAAGGACACGCTGAGTCACATGCTAGAGTTGGTGCAACGCGCGACTTCTAGCACGCTCCCAGCTATTTTTGCTTCTTCTTTGTCATTTCGCGTGCCAGGTCCAGTGCCAACCTCCATACTTTGTTGTTTTTTGTTCATCTCCTAAGCCATTTCTCGCCTACTTTCATGCAATGCACCAATTGTGACACGCTCCCAGGTCTTGTATCTCTACTCTTTTTGCATCAAATCATCCAATTCTTGCCAACTTCCATCCAAATTCATTCCTACGCACAATAAACATGCAATAAGCATATTATATGTTTATAAAGATGTAATCTCTCACAATTCACATAAAAAATAATATGCAAACTTAATCAAAAATATGCATTTTTCATCTTTTATCACTTCTCTTTGTACTACTTCCTGAACTCCTCCGTAACACGAAGAAGGCACTTGGAGGCCTTTTAGGCTTGTTAGGATCTTTTGCAGCCTTCTTTTCTTCCTTAGTCTGCGCAGTCTTCTTCACACCAAGTCTATAAAATTAATTCAACAAAAAAAAATCAAAATTAGTAAAATTTATACAACAAAATCGCAAATACCAAGAATAAAAATCTTATATCTGAGACTTAGTATAAAAATGAATTTGCAGAAATAATAAAACAGAAGAAAGCTCACTTGTTATAAGCTCTTCCCTTGGATTTAGCTCCTTTCATGATGAAACTTGCAACAAAACGAAGAAAAACGGTTAGAATCGGCTCGGAGTCGGCAAAAACTGTTGGTGATAAAATTTCCATGGCTGATAAAGCAAAGAAACTTGTTTCATAAGAGAGAAGACATTTGTTGATTGATAGAAACAAGAAGACTTTAAGTCAAAAACAGTCAAAGTCTTATTTTACAAATCAACATAATCAGAGCCCTTTATTAAATTCCAACGTGGACATATCAGAAATGTCCATCTTATTTACTAAATACAAAGATAGATTTCAACTGAAGGACCCAGGACCTTCTAGAAGAGCTAATGGATAATATCTAATTTTGCATTGTTTGTAAAGATTCTTTTGTTTGTTATCAGATACACAATTAGGATTAGACACGTGTATAGGTTTGTTACTCTTCTTTGTATTCTTCCTTCTTAGAGTTTAGTATATATACATCACTGTACACTGTAAACATTCATTCAAGAAGAATAATCAAAAAGTTTTTCTCACTATATTCTATGATTTCCATCATGGTATCAGAGCTATAGGATACGATCTCGCTATATTTTTTTTCCGTTTGCTTTCTTCTTCATCAAACTCAGCTTCTCTTTAGCTCTCTTCTAATGGCTCTTGGTACTGATGCTTCTACTATCAGCTCTGATTCACCTGTTGCAGCGACAGGGACACCAGCTTTCAATAACACAGCTCATTCATACTATCTTCATCCTTTGGATCTCCAGGGATGGTACTGGTTAACAGTGTCTTTGATGGCAAAGGGTATGGAGGATGGAGAAGAGCCATAGTTATTGCTCTCTCAGCCAAGAACAAGCTTGGTTTTGTCGATGAGAGCTTCACCCAGCCAGATCCTTCTGATCCTCTATTCAAATCATGGAACCGCTGCAACGATATGGTAATCTCTTGGATCTTGAATTCCCTCTCCAAGGATATAGCAGAAAGTGTCTTGTACTCCAAGACTGCAAAAGAAATTTGGACTGAGTTAGAGGATCGCTTTGGTCAGTCAAATGGAGCTCAACTCTACAATCTTCAAAAGGAATTAAGCGACCTTGTTCAGGGGAACTCAAACATTCCAGGATATTATACCAAAATTAAGAGGATTTGGGATGAGCTTGATGCTCTTAATACCTATGATCATTGTACATGCACTTGCAGTTGTGGAGGTAAGACAAAAAATCTCAAATCTCTTCAAGATGATCGACTTATCCAATTCCTTATGGGTCTCAATGAGACTTACTCAGCTGTCCGCAGTAACATACTGATGATATCACCTTTACCTAGTGTGAACTTGGCCTATTCACTGCTCATTCAAGATAAGAAGCAGCGTGAGATTCATGTTGCTCAACACCCTGCCGAATCTGCCTTCTTGGACTCATATCAGTAGGAAAATACTGAGAAAACAGGAAGAACAGACATGAAATTCAAAGCACATTTTGAAGGGAAGAAGTCCAACCTGTTTTGCAATTACTGCAAGAAGCCCGGACACACTATTGATCAATGTTATAGGATTATTGGATTCCCATCTTCCTTCAAGTTCACAAAGTCCAGAAAATTTCAAGGTGGAGCTCAAAGCAATCAAGTAATGACTTCTGAAGATAATGTGACAACACCTGCAGGAACAGACACACAATCATCAGGGAATCCCATCACACAGGATCAGTTTTCTCAACTTTTTCAGTTACTTCTGCAGGTGAAAATAGGACAACAAGGAGAACATGTTTCTGAAGCCAACACTACTGCTAATTGTGCTGGTATAATATAGCCTGATCTTAACCCTTCCAGTTGTTTTTCTCATATTAATTCTTTTATTGGATATTGGATTCTGGAGCAACAGAACATATGACCTACGACTATTCCATTCTCTTTGATATAAAATCTTTAACTAAGCCAGTTTATGTAAATCTTCCTAACTCTCACGGGATCAAGGTTCATCAAATAGGAAGTGTTCGAGTGCTACCAGACTTGACTTTGATAAATGTCCTTTATGTGCCTGATTTTAGATGCAATCTCTTATCTGTTCATAAGCTCACAAAATATCTTAATTGTCTCTTACTCTTTGCTTCTTTTGCTGCAATTTTACAGGCCCCTTCAATGAAGAGGCCAGTGGTTCTTGGTAGGGTTCAAGATGGTATTTCTCTACTCAAGCCAGTTCAAGCCAAACATCATTTAGAGCCAGTCATTTCACCAGTTCCTAAGTCTTTCTCTGCTTGTAATAAATGCAAGGATAGTTTAGCTTTTCATTCAGTTTCCAGATCAAACTCTGATGTAAGCCTATGGCACATGAGATTAGGGCATATGCCATTATCTAATATGAAGAATATTTCTAGTTTTCACAATCTTTCTGTGTCTAAATTCAATTATCCATGTGATGTTTGTTTTAAATCTAGACAATCTAAATTACCTTTTTCATCTAGCAGCATCTCTAGTACTTCTATTTTTGAGCTTATTCACATAGACACATGAGGACCATATAAGATATCAACTCATCAAGGTTATAAGTACTTCCTTACTATAGTAGATGACTAAAGTAGAGCCACATGGACCTACCTTCTCAAGACTAAAAGTAATGCTTTCAGTCAACACTCAATTCAATACAAAGGTTAAGACTATCAGATCCGATAATGCACTTGAGTTAGGAACAAGTTCTTTTACCTTTGAATTTTTTTCTTCACAAGGGATACTACATCAAACTACTTGTGTAAGTACACTGCAACAAAATGGTATTGTCGAAAGAAAGCATAAACATCTCCTTGAAACTTCTAGAGCTTTGTTATCTTAATATAATATTCCTATCACCTATTGGGGTGAGTGTTTGTTAAGCAACCTTTTTGATCAATAGGTTTTCATCCAAGGTTTTGCATTTCAAATCACCCTATGAGGTTTTGTTTGGAAAGAAACCCTCTTATGATTCTCTTAAAAATTTTGGTTGTCTTTGTTATGTTTCTACAAAGTGTCCACATAGATCAAAGCTTGAGCCTAGGTCCTCGAAGTGTGTTTTCTTGGGATATCCTTTTGGTAAAAAGGGGTGTAAGGTTCTTGATCTCACATCCAGAAAAGTTTTTATCTCCAGAGATATCATATTTTTTTAGCACATTTTCCCTTTTTCTACAAAGACACAGTCCACTACTCTGTTTCCCCCTTTTCCCTCTGATTCCCAGGACATTTCCACTTCCCCTGCTCCTTCTTCTCCAAGAACATCTTTGTCCTCTATTCCACTCTCTACTCCTGTCTCTTCACCTTCTCCTATCCTTCCCTCTTCTCCTTCTATCAGTCATTCTCCAGTAGTCCAGCCCCTAGAAGTAGAAACTCTTAGAAGGTCTTCTCGCCCACATAACCCTCCAACATATATAAAAGATTATGTTTGTAACACAGTATATTTGGCAGACCTCACTAATTCCTGTTTTGCAGCATCTGCTACACCTCAGACTTTAACTATTTCAGCTCTATCCTCTACCAACCAAACCCTTTTTCACTCCATTTCTTACATTATAGAACCCACACATTTTTCCCAGGCTGTACTACACCCTAGCTAGCAGGAAGCAATGGCTAAGGAGCTTCATGCCTTAGAGTCCAATGGTACCTGGGACATTGTTGAACTACCCAAAAGACAAAAGGCATTACCTTGCAAGTGGGTATATAAGGTCAAGTATTGTTCGGATGGGAGTGTTGAAAGGTACAAAGCAAGGCTTGTTGTGAGGGGGGATATACAAGGAGAGGGGATCGATTTCATTGAGACTTCTTCTCCAGTGGTCAAAATGACCACAGTGCGATGTCTCTTGGCCATAGCAGTTAAAAAGAATTGGAGATTATTTCAATTAGATGTGAAAAACGCTATCCTTCATGGAGACTTACAAGAGGAAGTCTACATGAAGTTCCCTGCCGGATTAACTTCTCCCAGTCCCAACCATGTTTGCAAATTAAAGAAGTCTCTCTATGGGCTTAAACAAGCCTCAAGACAATGGTACGCAAGACTCACTGCAGCTCTCAACTTCAAAGGGTACTCTCACTCCCTTAATGATTATTCATTGTTCTTCAAACATTCAGACACTGGTATCACTATCCTAGCAGTCTATGTAGATGATATTTTGATTACGGGCAATGATCTCACTGAAATTCATCTACTAAAGGAATTTTTTGATTTGGAGTTTCAAATTAAGGACCTTGGTGAAGCAAGTTACTTCCTTGGTATGGAAATTCTACGTGAAAAACAAGGATTGATCCTTAGTCAAAGAAAATTCACCTTCGATCTCCTTTCAGATTTTGGCTGCACAGAAATGAAGCCTGTACACTCTCCACTGGACCCCAATTGCAAATTGACTGCTGAGTCTGGCGAGCTCCTTCCTCATCCTACAATTTACCGGCGTCTTGTTGGAAAACTCAACTATTTGACTCATACTCGACCGGATCTTTCGTTTGCTGTCCAACATTTAAGTCAATATATGCAGCAGCCTCGGCGTCCTCATTTTGAATCAGCTATACACTGCCTGCGATACCTTTTATCAACGCCAAGTTTTGGTCTTTTCCTCAATTCAGACCCATCTCTGCAACTCCTTGCCTTTTGCGATTCCGATTGGGGAGCTTGCCGTGATTCATGCCGTTCAGTTAGTGGGTTCTTTATCAGCTTAAGAGGATCTCCAATTTCTTGGAAATCCAAGAAACAACCCTCCATCTCTCTCTCATCTGCTGAGGCAGAGTATCGCTCAATGCGCCGTGTCGTTGCCGAAATCACTTGGCTAGTTCGTCTCCTCTCAGATCTGACTGTCAAACCATCGCTTCCTGTCTCACTCCATTCAAATAGCAAAGCCGCTATTCATATTGCAAAAAATCTGGTATTTCATGCACGGACGAAACATGTTGTCTTGGATTGTCACTTCGTCCGTCAACAGTTTCTCACTGGTCTCATCTCTCTTTCCTTCGTTCCCTCATCATCTCAGATTGCCGATATATTCACTAAGCCACTGTCTGGGCCTCAACATCATCGTATTATGGGCAAGTTGGGTGTGTCTCTTCCACCCTCCAACTTGAGGGGGGATGTTGGTGATAAAATTTCCATGGCTGATAAAGCAAAGAAACTTGTTTCAGAAGAGAGAAGACATTTGTTGATCGATAGAAACAAGAAGACTTTAAGTCAAAAATAGTCAAAGTCTTATTTTACAAATCAACATAATCAGAGCCCTTCATTAAATTCCAACGTGGACATATCAGAAACGTCCATCTTATTTACTAAATACAAAGATGGATTTCAGCTGAAGGACCCAGGACCCTCTAGAAGAGCTAATGGATAATATCTAATTTTGCATTGTTTGTAAAGATTCTTTTGTTTGTTATCAGATACACAATTAGGATTAAGACACGTGTATAGGTTTGTTACTCTTCTTTGTATTCTTCCTTCTTAGAGTTTAGTATATATACATCACTGTACACCGTAAACATTCATTCAAGAAGAATAATCAAAAAGTTTTTCTCACTATATTCTCTGATTTCTATCAAAAACCGATTTAAATCGGACCGATTCATCGCCACAAATGAGTCGAGAGGTTTACTTGAGAGTGATAGAGAGAGAACAAAGAGATACACTTTAGGTTTATGTGTGTTGCGGAGTTTTTGACTAAAATTGTTCCTTATCTATGGAAGTAGGTTTATTTTTATCCTTCAAATATAACCCAGAGCATCTTTAATCCCTTGGAGCACATTTAGTCTCACTAACAAAATCAAGTTAAAAACTAATGGAAGGGGCAAATTTTCTAACGGTGCTTTTCCTGAAGCTTTCTCAAATAATATGGCGGGTCATTTTTTTATATCGACAAACGATAATTTACTGCGCTCTCATGATTAATTTGGTAGTACTTCCTTCGGCCACACCCTTCCCTCTTAGAAATTCTTTACAAATCACGAACAACAATTGTTAACTTTACAGAACCACACACCAAACAGATACTATTATCTTTGTTCTTAGCTCACTGTCAACAAAAACACGCACTCCCCTCTGTTTCCAGTGACAACGTAGAGTATAATAAATACATATCGAAGTTGCCAAATGCATATTCGAAATCCATAACAAGATGATGAGGAACAGATAATCATTTGACGAAGAAGATGACCGAGAAAACTTGATCCAGCAAAACGAATGTGTAAATGATCATCCATCCCAAATCTCCGCTTCGCTCCACATTCCAAATCGACGACGTCAAGGACCCATTTTCCTTTAATCGGCATTTTAATTTCATCTTCAGTAAGTGGTATTTCTTAGAAATTACTCTCCCAATTTAATTACCCATTCTTTATTCACTACCGATATCAAAAACCTATTTCATACCACCGTTACTAACATTAAGTACGATGGTTCCATCAATTTCATGCGTGAGTCCGAATTGAATGTTGGTT